ATATATATATATATATATATATCAATAAATATATCAATTTTCGTAGATCAACAATGTTTTAATTAGATGTCTAAATATAATTCTATAAGTCTCAGCAGAAAGTGATCGTAACTGAGTTATAGTCACAATATTTTGGTCAACCTACAACTTACGTTCCATGACTCAGTTATGACCATCTTTATGCTTAGGCTCTAAGATGTGTTGCATTTTATTGATGGAAGTGATTTCGCCGGAATTTGAGCTTCACTTTAGGATCCCTTTAAGAAAGTCTGATAACTTTAACTGTATTTACGTTTTTATCTAATTCAGCGTAGAACTACGTTGCTGGTTGCGGCTCTACTGGCTAATCTATCGTGGATTCTTGCAAGTTCTGCGGGATCCATCAGTGCAATTGATCAGGATACTGCAGAAAATGGTAAGTAAACAGTAGAACAAGTCAGGTTCTGTGATCTTTAAATGATTCTAAAATTCGGATAAATATGCGTACGACGAATCGATTGACTATCTTGTCAGGATGTATACGTTGTTATAATAACGGATCTCATTGCAGAGCATCGCAACGACTGCCGGTTTGTGTTTCGTAGGAGTCGTCCACCTTGACCAATTAGGAATTCAGGCTGTAGACGGTGTTATTTATCTCCTAGTATGTGAAAACGCATTCTTCCCTATGTACACTACTTTGGCGTTAATCCCGCAAGAATTACCGCTTCTTCTTCGAGAGTACAAGGCGGGCATGTATTCCGTTCATCTTTACTATTTGGCACGAATGATATCGCTGGTAAATTTTGTCAAATAATTTACCCTTGGCAAAAATAAAAATCAATACATAAATCGAATATAAAGGAAGAACAACAAAAGCGTAAAAGAAACTTCTGGGAACATAAATTAAAACAGCAAAATGTGAAAGAATCGTTTTAAGAGGTATAAATCCAATAAAGAAAATTAACTCCAACCAGTAATATAACATCAATGTTACAATTTTACACTCAAAAATATAAATGTAATATCTAATAACATATGATACTTAACATTTATATTGTTGAATGTGAAATTATTAACATTGATATTATTATGTGTTACAATTAGTTGATGATTACTGGGTTTCTTTACGTTTCATTGTTCCGTTTACGTTTCCTCAAAGTTTTGCTTTCGTTGTTTCTCTTTATATTCAACTTACGCTTCGATTTTTATCTTTGCTAAAGATGTATAGACACAATCCATACAAAAACGTTGCAACAACATTGGTAACGTTTGCAATATTGTTGTAATATTGCTGGAATGTGCTGTATGGGAAGAAGTATACTTATCGATTTGCGAGAGCATTGAAATTTTCAGATACCTGGACTGCTGATGGAACCAATTATGTTCACCGTAATAATGTATTGGTTGGCTGGTTTACGTCCCGCAATGGACGCTCTTAGCCTGACCATTTTGGTAGTTATATTTACGATAAACGTGTCTACCGCTTGCGGTAAGTGTTTCTATCTGTTTAAATAATGACAATAGGTTTAGGTCCATTTATGCGCGTTCTCATGTACTCCAGGATGTTTTTTCTCTGCCGTTTACCAGAGCGTACCGTTGGCAATGGCGTATCTGGTGCCCTTCGATTACATTCTTATGATAACTATGGGGCCTTTCATCAAGCTTAGGTATTTATGATTATCTTATATGCAGGGAGGATACTTTAAAAGATTTTTAAGGATGATTTCTCATGCAAATTCAAGACTTCAATCATTTAAGGCGAAAATTTCATATGATCATATGTCTGAATGGTTTACCCAGATATCATAGAGAGCTCAAAAAAATTCGGAAAGAATCCAGTCGAATGTCATCAATTCTGAACTCATTTTCATATACAATTCAGATACAACAAGAATTCTTTTTACATCTGAAAATGAATTCAGAATTGATGACATATCACTGATCTGAATCTTTTTGGAACTCTTTGTGCTATCTGGGTTTCAAAGATACAGAATGTTGAAGGAAAAATTTCTTTTCTAAAAATTTCGAAAACCACTCGAGTTATTTTGATGAAATTTTAAACATATAAAGTTTGCGTTATATGAGAATGTACAGTATAATTTTGTCTTCTTTCGTTTTTTATATCGCGGAGCCTTTTTAATTCCTTTTATTGATGCACGATTATCAGTTCACTACCTGTATACATACAATGGATAAGATACTTCTCTTGGCTACTACACTCCACGGAAGCTCTCACTATTATCCAATGGAAAGGCGTACATAATATATGTAAGTTTCATTGAGCCTTATTACTCCTCTATAAGACGCATAACGGAATGGATTCCTGTAAACAGCTTGCGAAACAACCGAGCTACCCTGCCTCACTGAGGGCGCCGAGGTGTTGGATCGCTACGACTTCAACGAGCGCAATTTCTGGCCTAATATTATCCTCATGGCTATCATTTACGCCGTCTTCCATTTGTTGGCATACGTCTTTCTATGGAGGCGATGCAAATCGAAATAAACGGATCTTAATGCTACTTGAACAAATGTCATATATGTGTTATATAAGTTATATTTTCATAACGCGTCTTAAAACCAAATGTTCCCTCCTAACTTGTCTTAATTAAGATTTGCAATCATTCGCAATCATATGCAAACTTGATGAATATTTTTTGTGGAATTCTTCAATGTAATTTAATGTAATTTTTCAGAATTTCTATATAAATTTCGAAATTTTTTTTAGAAATTTTGTATACATTATAATCTTTTTTAGAAAATTTCTCAGATTTTTTTATGTATCTAAATTGCAATACTTCAAAAATGCTAAGAAAATCTACATTTTTTCTAGAATTCTTTACATACAATTTTGAAATATTTTAAAATTTCTAAGATTTCTCAAATTTTCAAAAAACTTACAAAATCTAAAGAGAAGTTAAAGTTTTTTTTAGAAATTTTTATAAATTTAAAAAATAAAAAATTCTTAAAAATATTATGAGATATTATAAGAATTTCAGGAAAATTTTTACAATTTTTTAAATTGTCTGATTAAATCATTAAGAAAACTGATTAGATATATGTATACATGTATATTCAAGAGACACAGTATAGTGTTTCGAGCTAAAAACAAGTGTAGCAATGTCCAAGCGCGAGACCAGTCGTGTATACACATATATATAACAGCATGCTTTAATTATTTGGAAATCAGTTTGAAAATAAGAGTGGAATGAGAGAAGTTCGTGCTAGCGAAGCGATTGAATCGATTGTCAGAGAGACGAGAGAAGGAAGAATAAACAAGAAAATAAGGCAATATGAATTGCTGACATTTCCGCTTTATCGTAAAACAATTTTGTCACAAAAGTTCATTGCTCCAATAAAGGGGTTTCTTGAAAGGTCAACCTTTTCTTTAAATAATTCCCTTCCATCACCTATAAATAATCTACGATCGAGTTAAGGAGTTATGGAAGAGAATCAACCTCCGACGTGTACTACATGGGCTGAAATCCCGGGATTTTTAATGCAAGCGTTTTTTGGGCAAAGTTATATTTATTCCTCAATATAGTTGCCTTCGAGAGCGATATACTTAGTATAGCGATTTTCCAACATTTCGATACCCTTTCTGTAGTACGAAACGTCCAAGCCTTCGAAATACGCCTCGGTTTTCATGATGACTTCCTCATTCGATGTGAATCTCTTTCCCTGGAGCCACCACTTGAGATTTGGGAACAGATAATAATCGCTGGAGGCCAAGTCTGGAGAATACGGTGGATGAGCAACCAATTCGAATCGTAATTGGTCCAATTTGGCCATCGCTTTCAAGGACGTGTGTGACGGTGCGTTATCGTGATGGTACAGAACGAAGACGAAAGCGCTACTTAAACGACTGTAGCTTGTAAACGAATGAACGAAATGTCATGAAACTTCATACATAAACTAGTGACAAATGAACCTCTCGAAATGAATCATGTTCATTTTCTAGTGGCGCCACGTATTGAAAAATCCCGGGACTTTTCAGCCCATGTAATATATGAAACAGTAATAAAAATTTACAGCTGACAGGTCAATGATATTCGCCAGAAGAATACAATATGAATTTGAAACAAAAGTTTATTCTTAATTAATTGATTACTAATAACATTAAACACTAGTATATCGATTGGTCATTTATCCCGCATCATTAAAGTATGAAACTGTAAATAATACATTGTAAATAAATGACATCATTAATTGTCAAAAAAATAGTGATATCATTATTAAATTCTTAGGCGATCCGATTCAATGCTTAAAAATCATTTCATCCTTGTTTATTAAATGTCAAACAAAGATAAATAACATAATGAGCATTGTGAACATGACCAATAATCTTAAATAGGTTATGACATAAAAATTCAAACTATATTCAATGTCAAAATAATGATAGC